ACACACACAAACACCTCCACACACACACACACACACACACACAACAATCAGTCAGTCACAAGCAATCAGTCAGTCAGGCACCACCACTCAGATAACGACCATCTCCTTAACTAACAACAACTCCTTCAGCGTTAGCTCTAGCTGCGTCTCCCGGTGTGAAGTACAAACGGAATAATCCCGGCAACCCCCCTACCCACCTTCTTAACTCCCTCTCCCCTCTCCTTTTCCTTCTCTCCATTCCCTCTCGTCCCTCTCCGACCCCCTCCCATCCTCCCTTCGTCCATCTCCTTACCTACCTCGCCCCTCTCCTTACCCCTCTCTCCAACCTCCTTGTCCCTCTCCTCTTCTCCTTGGTCCTTCTCCTCTCCTCCTTGGTCCTTCTCATCTCCTCCTTTGTCCCTCTCCTCTAGATCAATTTTTGTCCCTCCCCCCTCCGGCCCCCCCCCACAAACACACACCAGAGTAGCAATCAGTTGGGTATTGTAATGAATATGGAAGTAACAACAACTCTAATTCAAGCGTTAACTTCGTCTCGACGCGCGGACAAACAAGATTAAATCCCCCCCCCACCCCTCCCCAGAATCGCCCCCTCTGCCCATGGCCACTGACCATTATCTGTGCTCCCTCTATATGAGGGCAGCCCTTTTAACATGCCCTCCCGTGTAATAGCAGCTGGAGTGTTTGCAAATTGATTTGTTGATGCCAACGGAAAATAGGAGTGGAATGAATTCTTAAACAGACGGCCGCAAAAATATGGCGGGACTGTTTTGTTTGTTTTTGTTTTTTTTTCTCCAAAAACCCCCCACGGCAAACAGTTATGGCGTCCCCCCCCCCCCAAATCAGTACAAACAGTAATGGCGTTTTTCCTCAGCGACTGCAAACACTTCTACGTGATGTGTTCGTAATCGGAAAATACATTCGAGGTCGACGAGTTTTCCAAATATCGAATCCGTAATATAGGTGTTAAAACAATAGGGTCCAGTGGTAGCAGATCGTAGAAAGAAAGCAGAATCGACTTCAATACAAAAGACCTGATCTGGTTTGAGGGGTTTATTATTATCTTTTCTTTGGGG